CCTAATCTAAACGAACTTAACGATTTTTGTACGATCACGTGATCGAAAAAAAATTGGTGGCGATGCTGGGGAAGATCTATAGCTACCAAATATTCACGTGATACATGTGATGAATTAGCACATCGCAGGGTGCTACGCAAATATTTATCTTTAATTATTGATCTAAAATTTGATCAATGGCACTTAAGTGCCTAACAATAATTCTTACAATTTTATTATAATATATAACCCGAATAAAGTAAATAATTAAATAATTTTTTATACCACATTAAAATTTTTTAAAGGAAAGAAATTCCCCTGAACTTTCAACCAGAAAATTCTTATCTACTTTATCATGTTCGAACGAGAAAACTTGAACTAAAGTAACTCCAGCATCTTTTGGACTAACTTCATAACCATTCATCATAACAGGAACAATGTTTATATCAGTACCAATGTTGAAAAGAGAAGTCGGTTTTAACAAGCCCGTTGTAGAATTAACATCATGCAAATACCCATGCTGTTCCGTTCTTATTCCCAATCTTACCATAGCGGCAGTAATATCGACAGTACCTACAACAAAAGAATTTTTTTTATGTTTTAAAGTACTCTGCCACATGGCAACAAAACCTGCGAAATGAGGAGAAGTTACGGGAGTTGCGGCATTCGCACTTGGTAGATCAACGAAAACTCTAATAGCGTATGGACCAACTAATTTACCTCTCTCTATGGTAACTTTTACGAAAAAACGTGTACCATAATGTGGATCAGGTTTATAAAGTTCAAGTAGATAGTTTTGTAATACATTTGGATCTTTACCCCTGAATTTTTCCAACTCAAGATAAGTATAACCAAGTTTTGTTATATCACGAACATCTGAGGATCTCCAAAATTCAGTTTCTGATTTTCGAAATGGTTCTAAATCTGTATATTCGTTAACCACATAATTCATACCTTCTGTATAAGTACCATTTCCATTTATATTTTGAGGAACCCAGCTATCGGGAAATCTATATAAAAAAAAATTATTTTTTTTTAACATTTGTTATATGTAATTAAAATTCACATTTTGTAAATAAAATAATACTAACACTCCTTGCCAAAGAGCAAATAATCGATCACAATTTATATGGTGAAAATAAAATAAAGGGTCAAACGCGGTTATATCAACATAAGTCATATGTCCTCCAAGACCACCAGCTATTAAATGGAGACCATCATGAGCTGTTTCAATTGAAGCGAAATGAGCAGATCCAACGTTTAATTTAGGATCTGGTTCTGGATGACCAGGGTCTGATTCAGGCATTTCATGATCACTCGAAGTTACAATATGATTACTAAAATGTAAGTAATTGGAGATATGATACATTTGATAAAGGGCTGGTCTTAATACAGAAGGAACATAAATCGAAAAATTTTGATTTAATAAATCGTATTGATCTTCATAATTAGAGTTTGGATGTCGAATGGTTGTATATCCTTTTGGAGTATATGGATTATATGTCATGTTTGGAATATGATAATTTGGTTTATCAGTTGGGTTTTGTCCTTTTTGTAGTGGTATTGAAAGATTTGTGGGTAATATATAGTTTCTTAACGGGTTAGACACATTTTTCTTGCCCTTTGGAGTGTTTATTTCAATAGTAGGAGTCAAAAAAATATCAGGAACACCTTTAGCAGCTTTTTCATCAGCCCAATCCCAGTAAGGATGACGAAGTTGTTTAGCCGCTTCAATATATTTATTTCTTTGATTCGAAGGATATTGTAAGGCAATTTGTTTAACTTCATTAATTAACAAATTTTCGAATAAAAACATATATGGTCTATGCCAAGTCGGGAATAAAGCACTTCCATGTTGACAATATCCACCCCAACGACCTTCAGAAATTTCGGACGATTTGTATGGATCAGAACCAGTAACACCATCATAGGCAGTATATGGCAAACCATGTATACCAGAGACCTGATAATATGATCTCATATCTTCATACGGACGGTCCTTAAGGGCCTGATAGCCTTGGATTAATAGATCAAACTGAGGTCGGTATGTCTCATTACCGTAAAAATCAAAAAGATCCCGTCTTGGGTAAATGTCCTCATATGGTGAAATAATAACTTTTTCATTGAATGTTGCTACGCTTCTCACATGAGAAACGTGTGAATAATGCGAAGAATGGCTTAATCCCATATTGAATGTTCAATAATATGATTAAATTATGATGAATTTTGATGAATTTTAAAGTTGAAGGAAATCTGTCATCTTTATATTAAATATTAAAAGTCTTTTATATTGTTGTTTATTCTTTTTTTTTTTTTTTTTTTGTAAAAATAAGTTGCTAGATTGTTAAACTATACTGTTTTTCCTATTTTGATATAACATAGTTTCCATTTTCGTACATATGTAAATGCATTTATGTAAAGAGGATATTAAGAATTTTTTGCATGCATTTATCGTAAATAGACGGAAGATCCAGTTATAACGATAATCTCCGTTATATATTTAGTAAAAAAGCCATCATTGATTCCATATTTGTAAATTAAGTGATTAGAATGAATTGTTACATAATTATCGTGCATCGGGCGTACTCTTGCATGAATGTAAAGGAAAACTTGGCAAAATGCATCGAATTGTGAAAATGAATATATTTTTTTTATTAAAAGAAATTTTGAAATATTATTTTCTATTTAAAAAATTGTATTTATAAAGATTTTTTTTATTAAAAAGAAAAACTGTTAATTATAAAATGTCTATTTTAAAAAATATTGTTAATTGGGCTGGAGCGGAGGGAAACGGAGTGTAAGTCCTTTCTATGGTCTACTAATTTGGGTCGATGTCCGGCTCCC